TATTAAACTGTGTACCGCAGTCAAATAAGAGAAGTAACACACAACAGTAAACTACAATCAAAATGCTCATTTCAAATCGAAATTTGATTCAAAATCGAGAATCGTTTCGAATCGTGAAGCACCAAAAGATTCCCACCGCTAGATTATAGTGAAAAATAAAATAGATGCTGAATGTTGAACACTAATAATTTAAGGGGAACAAGAATAACATAAACCGTAGACTAGAGCAAAAGTCCACAACTATAACGAAAAGAATGACAGTAGACTAATAATAGACTTACCAACAGCCGGCGCTATCATAGCCCTCCATTTCCTACGGAGAAACGCACCCACATCTTTCTTCTTCTTCTGTGTTTGGCTTTCAGCAAAATCTGAGGGAAGACATAATGAAGAAAGAATTCAATTGTGAGGTGAGACAACTGGAAAAGTGGGACATTTTCCAAGTATTTTCAGAGTATTTCCTCCTTAAAACTGCAGTGAACCAAAGACAGTCTCAAAAACACGGTGTGAAATCGCTGGTGTTTCTGACGTCACAAACCACCTTGTAACCAATCAGATCAACGTGTGATCGTCAACCAGTGGATCTCTGGGCTGAGTGAGTGAGTGGAGGCGGGGCCATTTTGCATATTCATAGAACCGAGCATACTAAATGAGGCAAGGGTGTCGAGTTACATTCAAGCTATTTTAAGGCGTGACGGATTGTTTTTTCAAAGAAAAAAACATTTAAATATGGAATTATTTGGTGATCAAAGATGAGTTTAAAGGGATGAATTGATTGACCAGCGGGGGACTTTAATAATTAGGTACACAAGATGAACACAACACAACTCGGTATAATGAAAGTACTGACAGTAATAATAATGACCATAGACTCACCCGGGACAGACGATGCATCGTCAGGATCGTCCTGAATAGAGTCCGGCGTCAGCTCGATACTAGAGAGACTGGACAATCCCGAGAAAGACATCAGCTCTAGATCTCGTGCCACTGCCGGCTCTGGGTCCAGGACAGATGTGCAAGAGTGTTCGGGATCGTCCGGATCGGCATTAACCGGCAGCTGGACTCCAGATGGACACGGATGCACTGGTGTTGCCCAGTAAAACTCGGATGAATCTTGCTGGACATCCGTGGGATTGCAGGAGGGATATGTGGACACAAGTATATCGACCTCACTGCAGTCCAGCTTTACAGCCTTCCCGATTCTCCGTAAGAAAGCACAGATGCCTTAAAGAAAGGTAAAAACATTAACACAAGAAACCGTAAATACTGAGGCTTGACATCATGAAGAAAGAAGAACATGGGATGAAAACAGTTAAATATGTTCTTCCCAATCATCCTAGTGCCTGAATACACACACACAAACACACACACACATGCTTTCCTTTTCTCCCTTACATTTACAATTACAGCTATATACAATAGTGAACACAAGTGACGTCCGGCCCAGGAAATCTGACAACTGCACTCTTGTCATGCATTTAAATGTTATTATAAATGTGTGTAAGATTTTGTAGTCATATTGCACAGTTAAGCTGGGAGTCGATTGTTTAATTTGTGATAATAATTCAATAAAACATAAACAATTTGGCAACATCATTTTTGTCCAGGCTGTTATATAAAGCTGAATTAAAAACACATGCAAAAACAAGAGAACCAACCAAATATTAATAATAACTTATAATGTTGTGTACCATGTGTGACCATGATCCTCTAAAGCAGGGAATATCACACACAAGCATGTTTCAAACTAATCATAATTATTAAACATTGGATACTCAAATTATGGCTATTCTTGAAACTTGTATCCAATCCTTATTTAAATATGTTATGATGTGTCTTGGAATAAAAACTAAATCTGATTATTGGCTTCAGTTGTATTTTGATATAATATGGTGTGGTCATATATGGTAATTAATGACACTCCAGTGATAATATTCTCCAATGGTCATTTGATTTACCCTCAGCTCTTCTCTCAGGTATCGGCGCAGTCCTCTGGTCTGGGATGATGCCGCTCCAGTCACGGGAATGAAGCTTCTTCTCCTCTTCCTCTGCCTAGGGGGACCATATTTTGATTACCAAAAACCAGGACACTCGGCCCAGCAAACAGATACTCATAGTTTACTCAAAGATGCCTTATTAATTTCAATACATTGAAAGTAGGCTATTCCTCCTCTGTATAAATAGAAAATTGTTACATTAACAAGACACAAATCCAGATAGGCTTCTCAGAGGTTACTCAACGTTTTATTATGACAGGTTTCAAAAATAATGAAATAATGTCTCTTCTGTATTACAAAAGTAAATATATAAATAATAAATAACTGAAAGAAATACCTACAAATTGAACAAATATATATCTCTCACAAACTTGCCAAAAAGAACTAACAAAATATATTTATTTATATCATAATCTTTAGTTTTCTTCCTCTTTATCCTGTTTTTCTTCCTTGCCCGTCTATATTTTGCTGTAGAGCTGATCTTTCCCAGCAGTTTTTTGAAAACCAGGACATTTTCATCACTTTATAAAGAGCAGCCAGGAGGGCCAGGACAGGACGTGAAAACAGGACTGTAGGTCACCCTACCTTTGCCTTTGCTCTCCGAGAGTCTTGAGAAGAAGTGGACGGACGTCCATCATCTGGGCTCTGCTGGCTGTCTCTCTGCCACTCTCTCTTCCTGTCAGCCGGACCTGTGGAGACAGAAACAAACTCACAAGACAGAGATGTTACATATCCAGGAATAAGCTCATGGCTCTGAGTCCCGGTCGGGCCTGGCATCCTCCTGCAAACAAGAGCAATACAATACAAAATACAATACAATACAATGAAATACCCCACCTCAGTAATACCCCACCCAAAATACTCAGAAACACCCCACCCCCCCAAAAAAAATAAAAAATAAAAATAAAATAAACAATAATAAATAAAATAAAACTCCAAAACTCCCTCAAAAATAAGAAAAGAACAATCAAATTAAAGCGTCCTCAGAAATAATATTAAATAAAAATAAATAAAACGATGTAGCGTTAGCTAGGATATATTATCCGATCTCCTTCTTCAATAAAAGTCTCCTCTCTTTCTGAAATCCTCCGAACAGCTTCAAAATTTCAAGTTTAGCACAAGAAAATTTTCAGCAAAAGTCTCTGAAATCGCCTCGACTCTCAACCAACCAACAGCGATCAAAGTGTTGATATTTTCATTCAAAATTCATAAGACGCGTCGCCATAGCAACTCATACTCGAATCACTCATATGCTCGCACGCGCATCCGAAGCCGCGTGCGTGAGCAGAGCGCGTGAGCTCACATCAATGACAAATAAGGTTTTCAACTGATAAAAAAAAAAAAAAAATCAAATTGGTTAAAACTGTACATTAAAGTAGTTATTATCTTTATGGGGATGTTTTTTTTTTTTGTTTTTTTTTACTTGTTACTAAAATCTAAATTTTAAACTATGTATTTTAAGTGGTTTAACTGAGAATCATGTGACCACACCAGTCAAAATGTCATAAGGCCTACAGGATAACGACGTTAATGCATTTTCTAAATATTATGATATTAAAACTTTTCAAATCAATAATACTATACATTTGAAAACGGGGTTTTCGTTTAAAAACGCTCTCCGTCCACACTAGTGTTTTCAGGCGTTTTCTGACGTTTCAGTGTGGATGAGAAACTTCTAAATTCACTTTACTGCGCATGCGTGAAACTTCACAAAAGCTCACTGAGACGTTACAGAGGAGGAAATAAATAATAAAGTTATTGCGCAATTCTTCTAACGGGATCATTTTATTTAGCAAAATATCTCACCATCACTGATGCATCCAGGTCGCATTCAGTCACCATATTTGGTCTGCAAGCTAAATTCTATATACACAAATGCAAATATATAAAAAAAAAAACCGGCCTTTAAACATTTTTATTGTGATATGTTATCATATGAAGAGTTCAGATGCAAAAGCCTCTAAGTGCCGTTTGAAATTTTGTTCTAAAATGACCATTTTTATCAAGCTTGTATATTTAAGTTCAGTAATTCCACTTAAATGACAATTAATAGGTAGGCTAATCTTCATTGCCATTTAAGTGAAATTACTGAACTTAAATATATCTTGATAAAAATGATCATTTTAGAAGAAAATTTCAAATGGCATTTAGAGGCTTTTGCATCTGAACTCTTCATTTATAAAATTAGCCTAATTAGTGGTTCTTTGAACAAAAAGGCTATGAATTCGAGAAATATTTGTATTACTTACAATTTGTTTGAATGTATGTGATACCCCCTGCCTGGCAAGGGTAATATTATTGTTGTATGTTTTGTATACTTTGTATACTGTTGTTTTCATTTGAGCAAAAAAAAAAAAAAAAAAAAAACTGCAGGCACCTACTCCCGCATGCATTTTCAGGCGAGGCGCATCTCAAACAAGCCTAATGATACAAGCTCCGAAACAGTGGTTCATTGCAAGGTAAATCATCTCCCAAATATGTCATTTTTTAAAATTAATTTAAACTGTATATAAAATCCTTAAAAACTTTGAAAGGTAAAAAATATACCGCAAAAAATATATGATATACACTTCCCAACTTATATGGATGAACAAAGACTTAATTCTCCTCTTATGTCATGTTGTTATGTTATTTTATAATTCCTTACCGTTTATTTATTTAATGTTTATTTTCCTTACAAATATCCTTATTTTTGTACTAAGACTACTTTATATTCTCGTTGTAAGAGCTGCTCCCTCTGGCTATATTTTCCTTGTATCCTATTCTGAAGAGAAGGATTATGCAGCAGCCATGTTTTTCTGTAAATCTTGATATTTCAATAATAAAAAATGTGGTTCATTGCAAGGATCGTTTTTTTTTTTTTTTTCTCTCAAAATCACAGAGTTTGATATCTAGTTCTTGACATTTATTTTACACATTTTCACAAGGACCGTTCGAGTTTGAAGCAAGCTTCGGAGCGTCCGTGTCAGACACGTGTCATCACTAGGTGGCGGTAACGCGCGAAACCGATGCGAATCAGAAAAATAAAAGAAGAAGAAGGAGAAACCGAGGTTCATACATTGTAAAAAATGTCCAAAATGGGACTTGTGTCTATTCATTCGTTTTTGGTGAAGCGCATGACAGCAGTTGCCGAAGAAATATTTGACGCTGTCAAAGAAAATATGATTGAATATGAGCAGGAGATAGAGCGTCTAAAGCAAGAGAACTGTTGTCTCAGGAGTACACTGACTCACAGCCGCAACGGCGTCTGTGCAGAAACACGCCACCATGGTTAGTAAAACATTCACTCTAAAGTCTAAACTATTTATTTTGTCATGGTCATTGGGTTATAGATCAGTCAGTTGGTTGGTTACAAATCAGTCAGTCAAATTACACGCTGTATATCAAAACAATCTCAAATTTGTTCTCACTTTTATTATAATGAATGCCATGATAAGTTGTATTTAAATTGGCATTATTAAATAGTTTTTTTAAGTAACGCCTGACCAATAAAATAGTAAGTCCATATATGTTAATGTTTCAAATAAGATGTGTCATATACATGAGGCTTTTCTTGCCCATCTAATGAAAATACTCATCTAAAACCTCTGATTAGCTTATTCAGTGACCCAAACTGAGCAATGCTGTGCCAATGTTGCTGTTTGTATAGGTATAGGTAACAGTTAAGAATATAATAGCTTTGCAATTAAATAATTTTTAACCGAAATTGTTAGGCTTTTTTATATCAGTATAACAGTTTTCAGTCTATATCTCCCAATATGTATTAACAAGTTGTTACTTAAATGCTTCGTTTTATTATCAAAGGTTGGCTATATTTAAAAAAATAAATAAATAAAATAGTTTTGTAGTGAAAAACTTACTGTATAATGCAATGCAATAAAATAATGATTGAGAAATGCACTTATAAACTATGCTCAATTACAGGTTATATCATATTACTTTAACAGAGCTGCAAGATTCTGGATAAATTAAGAATCACAATTTGTTTCTAAATAGTCTACTAAACAACATGCAAATTAATAGAGGCTCTACTGATAATGACTGAGGTCTTTTTATTAGTAGTAACATTTTTCATCAATCATTTTTTACTCATAGAGATGTTGAATTAATTAACACTAATAATAAAAGATTGTTTTGGATGAATGATTCAGTGACATTTTTTTTTAAACAGTCACTTGTGTCCACTGTCTGGTCTAATGATGTAATAGATAATCTGGCTATTCAGGACGCAGCCTATAAACCAGCTCTCGCCAACTCTTGAGCCGAAAATACATGACTCGAAATATTTTTTTAGTCGTTATGTGAATTGAAATTATGTGATTTTATATATTGCCCCTCATTTAAAGAGAGTAAAAATATAAAACATAAAATATCCAGTAAAATATAAAACAAAAAAAAATGACAATAGCCAATCCTGTCTCCATAGCTGTTTACTCAGTTGTAAATGAATGATCAGGGTGGCTGCTGTACTCTCACTCTGTTTCTTGGCGCCAGGAGCAGTAATAGGGAACACCTAGTTGCGCAATTGGGAAATCCCACGAAGGCTACATGATGCGTCCTTCTAAGGCTGAATATGCTGAATCCTTCGAAGTCTGCAGCCAACATTGGGACACAGCTTGCGTGTGTGCCGGTTGAGGGAGAATAAAACGAGTCTCGGTTCTCCCGCAAACTAGAAATATCTATGAATAAAACATTTAAAAACGAATAGATTTTTATTCATCTGTTGCAGAAAAGCAACAATAACAACTAAAACAAAATAGAAACGATTTACAGGCCAGAGTTTCTGTTCTTTACATGTTTACAGCGTTGAGTGATGTAGCCAATCACAGACATATATGTGTTGATTTCTTGAATGCAATGGCCAATCAGAAGCATTTAAGATAGACTTCCCTCACCTTTCAAAACAGACTTTTTGTTCATTGCTGAATTCTGTATGCTGGCAAATCCTCTAATTATAACAAACAAAATGTGGATATTATGAAAGATTCATTGTGCTGTCAGCTTCATTGAGATTGCGATGAACTGTCAGCTTTTTATGGATTATTAAGGGAGCGCACTTTGCGCATGTTCAGTCATGCCAAACCATTCACTCAAGTAGCTGCTTGCTTTTATGTTAAATTAACAGTGGTTTGTGTGTTAATGCTTTAATAACAAATAATTTAGGGTTGGGTCTGGGTTTTTTTTTACATTCACTCTATTTATTGTTTTTGGTATTCATTCAAGTGCATTTGGTGTTAACAGAGATATTTGCTTTTATTGTTTTTGGTTGTTTTGTACATTGTTTTGTTCAGTGTTAAATAGTCTTATGTTATTGTTAAATAGAAATAAAAGTTTAATGATATTTGAAAAGGTGCATCTGCCTTATGCCATTATCATTATTTTAGATGTAAATGGTCTCGGAACAACAATATTATCGTTTATCGCAATACTTTATTGGACAATTTATTGTCCAGCAAACAGAAAAGACCCCACTGGGTACTACTCATGTCATTTCTACAACAAACAGGAAAAAGAGGCTACAATTTGCAAGTGCTCACCAAAATTGGACAGTTGAAGACTGGAAAAATGTTGCCTGGTCTGACGAGTCTCAATTTCTGTTGAAACATTCAGATGGTAGAGTCAGAATAGTGGGATGCGGTACCATACAATATTCTCGGCACACTTTAGGCCTCTTAGTGCCAATTGGGCATCGTTTAAATGCCACAGCCTACCTGAGCATTGTTACTGACCCTGTCCATCTCTTTATGGCCACCATGTACCCATCCTCTGATGGCTACTTCCAGCAGGATAATGCACCACGTTACAAAGCTTGAATCATTTCAAATTGGTTTCTTTAACATGATAATGAGTTCACTGGACTAAAATGGCCCCCACAGTCACCAGATCTCAACCCAATAGAGCATCTTTGGGATGGGGTGGAACAGGAGCTTCGTGCCCTGGATGTGCATCCCACAAATCTCCATCAACTGCAAGATGCCATCCTATTAATATGGGCCAAAATTTCTAAAGAATGCTTCAGCACCTTTAGACATGTGCCGGTATTCGGTAATGCGATAAATCGTGGTAATGAATATGCGCTATATTGTTATCGCAGGCACTTCAAAATACCGTGAAAATGATAGATTCGAATTTAGACTTTTAGAACGCGCATTAGCTTATTTTCCATCAACCACTTAATCACTGCATATGCGCAAAACACGTGCGCACTCTGATGTAAACAATCCCCACGTGTATAAGCACTGTGTGTATGCAGCAGTGTGCACTCTAGTCTAATGTAATCAATCCTCACATGGAGTAGAAGCATGGCGGAAGGAGGAACACTGCCGACGATTTATCCCCCGCAGGGCTGCCAGCTTTCACGCATTCAGCTTCAGACAGGACGCTGAATACGCGCGGGGACGTTTTTTTGCTGCGTCGACCAAAGCACACCGGGCTCAAAGTTTAAAATAGTTAAACTTTTTATTTTCAAAATAGCAAATCGTGTTGTATCTGAAGGGTAACGTTGAACCCAGCGGCCAGCACCGCGCATTCCGTGTCCCGTCTGAAAGGTGCTTTAAGCAATTGACACTTTTCACATGCTCTCACACAGATCTCTCACACAGATCTGTCCATTGTGACAGATCGCTGCGCCTCGGTTCAAGTAAACCAATTATGTAGTGGCTATTTGTCCATAAACTTAAACAAAACAAAAGAAAAACAATAAACTTCTCAAATGGCCACTTGAGGCTACGTCATAGTTTGGCTTTACGCAGGTTCAGAGGTACCAAAGCAAAATGTCCATACCAGGATTGAGTTTGAGGAGGTTTATTCACACAGTCCAAGCAAGCTCACAGACATTTCTGCTGCCTCTCTCACGCTGGTAAAAAACCATATGCCCTCGTGCCTAACGTACTTCCCACCTTGACCTACTTATGCAAATGAACGTAACACCACGTGACCCATAAACGAAAATACACGTAAAGCATAAATACAAAATAAACCAAATTAACTTTAACAAGAAAAGAAAAGAAATAAATTAGACTATAAAGTAACTTAAACCCAAAATAAACAAAAATAAAAATATAGCTCCAACAACCCAGCCCCTAATTGTGACTGTACTTTACCCACAATTAACTTTAGCTTTAACGCAAATGAGCTATATTCTAATTGTAGCTTAAACATTAAACTGGAATCTTCACACCTCCGGATTCTCCATATCTGAAAGAAACAAACAGATTGAAGATAGAAATAGAAGAAAGAATGAGTTGTATAGTCAATTATTAGCCTCCAAGAGAAGACAGAGCTTGGTTATTGGTCTGTCCAGGATGCTGGTCTTCGTTTGGACCTTCACAGAACGAACCAGTCCTCTGGAGTCAGCTGTAGTGCTTAGAACTCTGCCCATCATCCATGAGCCTCTTGGAGCTGTGGCATCAGCAATTACGACAATATCTCCTGGATTAAAGTTTCTCCTTCGCTTCGTCCATTTTTGCCTTTCTTGCATTACAAGCAAATACTCTGCTGTCCACCTTTTCTAAAAAAGCTCCGCAATGTACTGCACCTGCCTCCATCTCCTCTTAATGTACAGATCAGATTTCTCGAAAAGACCTAATGGCAGAATGGGCTTGCCCTTTAACAGGAGAATGTGATTTGGAGTAAGCGCTTCTAAATCATTGGGATCTTCTGAGGCCTTAATTATTGGTCGGTCATTGAGTATGGCTTCCACCTCACAAAACAGCGTTTGCAGGCCTTCTTCGTCCAGCAGTTGATGTCCAACGACAGAGGTAAGTACACTGCGCACAGAGCGAATCAGACGCTCCCAAACGCCACCTTGGTGAGATGCAGCTGGGGTGTTAAAACTCCACGTCATTCCTTCCTGCACAAAGGTCCTTTCAATTTTAGAGTGATTTAAAGCGGCCAATGCCTGCCTCAATTCCTTCTTCGCACCAACGAAATTTGTGCCATTGTCTGACCTTATACTTGTCACAGGTCCTCTTCTGCAGATAAATCTTCGCACAGCATTGATGCAGGAGTCTGTGTCGAGGGAGTGCGCCACCTCAAGGTGTACTGCACGGCTACTCATACAGGTAAATATCACTCCATATCGCTTCAGCACAGTTCTACCTCTCCTCACCTCCAATGGTCCAAAATAGTCCACTCCCGCATTCGTAAAGGGTGCGTTATCAGGCACAACTCGATCCTCCGGTAAGTCAGACATCTTCTGTTCTCCAAGTTTTCCTCTGTATCTTCTACACACTGTACATTGTGAGAGAATCTTCCTGGCTGCAGAGTTG